AAGAAGAACTCGATAGAACTAGAAAAGAAGAACTTGATAGAAGAACTCAAATAGAAGAATATATAAAATCAGAAAGGCTAAAATCAGATAAGGTAGAAGAAAACCCTGTCACTTCAGAATCGGATCTATGTGGAATATGCAAGAAAGGAGATGGGAGAAGAACATCTAGATGGGTTGAGTGCGGAAAATGCCAGGTATGGTTCCACATTTCATGTGTCAATGTTTCAGTGAAACAATATGATACTATAAGTAAAGAGTCAACCGAGTGGACATGCCAGAAATGCAAGAAAACAGGCAAGATGGATAAAAGTAAGTTGGCGTGGGGAGAAATGAATAGCGAGGAAGCCATTACTGAAATGATCAACACAGTGTATGCAGAGATAATAACATGGGATAAGAATTTTATGCGACTTCCACGTGGAAAGGCTGGCAAAGACTTCATCCTTGAGCTAACCAGACTGTTCACTATGTTCACCCCAGACTCTGTGTGGGAGAAGGATTCACTTTCCCTTGTACAGATATTTATCCCTCTGATCCTCCAGAAACCATCAGCAAGATCCAAAGCTCGTGAGAACAACAAATATCTGATATCAAGGCTTCAGAAATGGGATATCGGAAACATAGAGGAACTCTTAAACGAATGTAAAGTGATACAGAGCCGCCTTCAGAAGATAAACATCACTAAAGAGTTCAATGAAAAGAAAGCTTTCTGCCGGAGAATGCTTCAGGGTAAAGTAAAGGAAGCCACACGACTAATAGACAATGAGAAGAGAACTGGGATTCTTCCTATAGATGACGACACAATCAGACAGCTGCGGGACAAACACCCACCTGCAACAAAGCGTAAGGGGCCAGAAAAACTGCCAACAATCGATATCCAACCTGTATTGTTCGAAGAAATCGATGGTGAAGCTATAAAAGCTGCAGCCAAGAACACCCATGGTTCAGGAGGCCCTACCCTCATAGATGCTGATGGTTGGAAACATATCTTATGCTCAAAGAGCTATGGAAAATCCAATGATATCCTAGCTCATGCCATAGCCGATGTCACCAAAAGATTATGCACAGAAACTATCGATCCATCCATACTCAGAGACCTTCTTGCAAGTAGATTGATTCCTTTGGACAAGCGACCAGGAGTCAGACCCATCGGAATCGGTGAAGTTTTGCGACGTATCATGACAAAAACCGTAACAAAAACCATCAAAGAACACATAAAGGAAGCAAGTGGGTCTCTTCAAACCTGTAGTGGCATTGAGTCAGGCATAGAGGCTGCAGTTCACTCAATGGCGGAGAACTTTGCCAACGACAACAGCCAAGGCCTTCTCCTAGTTGATGCATCAAATGCATTCAATAGTTTACACCGAGAGCAGGCCCTTGATACTGTTGCAACAACTTGCCCTGTGTTTCACCAATTCCTTAAAAACACCTATCAAACAAGGACAAAACTCTACATTTCGGGGTCAAAGTCAGGGGAGTTCATTTGGGGCGAAGAAGGAAACACTCAAGGAGACGTTGCAGCAATGCAATTTTACTCCATAGCCACTAGACCTATAATAGATGATCTCAGAGCTTATGCAGAAGCAACCATGGTGTGGTACGCTGATGACAGCTCTGCATGTGGAAGCTTCATCCAACTTCTTCAGTGGTGGAATAGACTTTGTGACATCGGTCCGGGATATGGGTATTATCCCAACGCTAAAAAGACCATTCTAATTGTCAAGAATCTTAAAGACCAGGCTGTAGCAGAGACACTATTTGGGCATCTTGGAGTTAAGATCACGACATCTGGAGAACGTCACCTTGGTGCAGTGGTAGGATCAAAGAAATACAGGGAAGATTACATCAAAGAAAAAGTTGAGAAATGGATAACAGATATTGAACAACTTGCTGATATCGCTTCTGAAGAACCACAGCTGGCTTATTCAGCCTTCACCAAAGGAATATGCCACCGATGGAGGTTCTTCATGAGAACAATACCTGACATTGCAGAGTACTTTGCCCCACTGGAGAGCAAGATCACGCATGTGCTCATTCCAGCCCTCCTCGGTCGTCCAGTCAACCAGCACGAGAGAGATATCCTCGAACTTCCTGTTCGTTGTGGCGGGCTAGGTATCATCAATCCTGTCAGAATAACATCCCGTGAATATGCTTACTCAGTAGCGGTAACTAAAGACCACGTGAGTTTGATCAACCAACAAGACCCAGATATCACCAAGCTGGACATGGGCAAGATAAAAGAAAAGAAAGAAGAACTGAGGAAACAGAAAGAGGAGTTTCTCTCTCAAAGGTTCAAGGTGCTCCACAAAGAATCAGATCATCAACTAAAGAACCACTTAGACCAAGCAAGAGAGAAGGGAGCCTCAACATGGCTTTCGACACTACCACTGAAAGACCTCAACTATGTTCTGAACAGGCAGGAGTTCCAAGACAGCATACGCTTAAGGTATGGTTGGAAGATCCAAGGAGTGCCCTCTAAATGTGCTTGTGGAAATGTTAACAGTATCTACCACGCCCTTGACTGTAAACTAGGCGGATACGTTAGCATGCGCCACAACGCTATTAGAGATACTGCTGCTTTCTTCCTCCGAGAAGCAAAGTGTAAAGATGTAAGGATAGAACCAGCACTCCTGACAGTCCAACCAAGCTCCTTCTCAAGAAAGATCAACACCCAGGATGAAGCCCGTCTTGATGTTGCAGCTGTCGGATTGTATGCACCCTTTGAAAGAACATTCTTTGACATTAGGGTCACACATCCTAACTGTGACACAAACACATTTAAGATGCTAGATAAGATCTATAAAGATCACGAGAAAGAAAAGAAAGATTTGTATGAAGAGAGAGTACTTCAGTCAGAGAAAGGATCCTTTGTCCCTCTAGTCTTCACAACCTCTGGAGGTATGGGACCGCTATGCACTGTATTTGTAGATCGTGTCTCTGAGATGATAGCTGACCATAAAAAAGAAGCCAAGAGCCAAGTCAAAAATCATATCAGAACACGATTCAGATTTGATCTGTTAAGAAGTACACTCATTGCACTAAGAGGAATCAGAGGAAGATCAACGGCCCAGCATCTTGAACTGCATGACATCTCCTTCAACCTCATCCCCCAGAAGACGAGCTTTGAGGTCTCCTAGATTTGTTTATGTAAATTTTGATATTTTACTGTACTATTTTATGTTGTATATAATTTTACGGACGAAATGATACCAGGGGGACTCCCAACCCACCGCTTCGGCGGGTAGTTGACGCACCTTTCACAAGCAAGAGCCACTTTGGTCTACTTGCTGTGAGGTGTCTCAGCTACATGGGTTGGGGGTCCCCCCTTTTTTTTTTTTTTTTTTTTTATTTTATTAATTCTGGTTTTAGTTAAGGAGAGTCAATTTCAAGAAGCTCTAAATGAACAACAGAGCTCTGAACTATACAGTGTACACGCTCTGTCAAGAGATATTGATAAACATGCAACTGGATTCATTTGAAAAGGTAATTTTTCAGTGTTTCAGCATTCGCCAAGCTGATGTTTACTTCCTTTTGTTACTTTGGTGTGCTACATAGAATCCTCTATCAGGTCATCAGAGTTGCTGACCACCTGGACTGCAAGGTCGCTGCCTTTATTCCACTCAAATCTTGTAGGTTTATAACCTACCAGGACGCACGCTGAGTTGGACTCGTCGACGGTCCTTGGAACAAATATTTTACGAGTATCACCCGTTAACTCAAATCCAGTAACAAGTTTCCATTTCGACAGCTGTATCATGCCACTGGAGGCTCAACCGGGAATGATTTCATAAACTTTGTAAGCATTTCTTTAAAGTGCAGGGGATCTTCAATAGTATGCATGTTTGGTAGGATTAAGTTCCACAATCGAGGTTCAATAACTGCAAACGAATTGTCGTAGAGCGTTTGGTTCACTGCTATATTTCTTCAGAATGGGAATAATTGCCTTTTGGCCATGTCAGAGCAGTGGCATAATGTTGGCTGTTGGAGCCCCCACTAAAAAAGCGCCCCCTTTCCTATTGGTGCCCCTCCCTAAAATTGAACAAATTAGATGATTTTAGAGGGTACAACGGTAGAATCTCTAAAAAAGTGTGTTTCTTGAGCAAAATGTGCAGTTTTGCTAGTACCGTATTTAAGTTTTCCTAATTGTCCCACATTCAAACGACTGTTTGGTGCCCCCCTAAGATGGCAGCACTTTCCACATGTGCCGATGCAGATAAAACGTGTGAAATTTTGAGAGGAAATCAGCATTAGAGAGCGTTATAAAACACTTTTACATTTTTTCCCCAATTAATGAAAAATGCTTCTGTTTTAGAACCTATTCTTAAAGTTGGACTTTGCAATTCTTAATTTTGTGGCTGAACAAAATCATTTTAAATGTAAATTTGTCTGACTGCCTTAGTACTTAGTACTTATGATTTTGATTTGTAGATAATTTTGCTTGGGGCTCTTACAAATCAAATCAGCATTAATTGTGTACTAGAACCATAACTCAGGACTCTAGGGAATCTGCAGTAGCCACCACGTCAACATCATATTGGACAACCAACACATGACCACTACTAGCAGGAACCCGTCTAACCCTAAAGTGGTGTCAAGACTCAAGAGACTAAAATAATAATAACCTATTTAATTCGTGTTTATATATATATATATATTATATTGTATTATATTATATATATATTTATATTGTCTCGCTTTACATATAATAAGATTTTCAACTTTGGTAATCACACTAAACGCTTAATGGTGCCAGAAGAACAGATCAAACCTAGATCAAACACCCATGTGTCACTCTGGTAATCACCTTATCAACACTGCACTAGAGCTTCTACTCATCCATGTATCTCACTTGATACATTTTCATTTCCACACATTAAATCCTCTAATGACACAGGTCCAGCCTCTCTTTAAAATACATATTTTTAAATAGCCACAAGAATAAGATTTTTAAGTAAAATTGACTGTTTATTCTTGTGATTATACTCACTTTTAAAATGTTTAGATATGTCCCATGGATCAATGAGGTACTTTCAAGATAAAAACTCCAAGTCAGGACAAGCCTCCAAAACCATTAATCATACAAGAATTGATAGGTACGAATCTTAATTTCATACCTTACTTGAGGAGCCTAGTGGGTTCTGTATGCAATTGCTTTTGTTCAGGTAAAGTTTGAATTAAGCATAAAAACGTGGATTTATCATCTGTGCCTGCTCCATTTGTGAGCTGAAATTGTTTTCAATGGAGGGTCACTTTTTGGTCACTTTGATGCTGTTTAATTAATAGTATAGATATATAATCATAAGTAAACATAATCTCTTTAAAGTCTAAGTTACGTTCGAAATCTTACGATTTAACTTAGCTATCTAAAGCAATGCTTGCAATAAATGTGATTTGTTGGCGACAGAGAAATGCTTGGTAATCAGAAATACACGGTCGTTTGGGGAATATTTGCTATTTTATTTACTATCTGTAGTTTTTTCGGAGATTCATTGTACTAACATTTTTCGAGAGTTTCTCAGCTGGTTTTTCGCAAGGTTCTGTAGCAAACGCAATGATCTTCCAGATACACACAACTCAATATACTAAACTGATTTTAATTGGCAGACCTGTGTTTTTAAGAGCTTTAAATAGGATTTAAAATGGGACATATTTCTTCTTTGTAGCTGTATTTATCCTTTTACAGCATATCGTCGATAGAAGAGAAGTATGAAATCTCACCTGACATACTTGGACAAGGCAGTTTTGGGACAGTCTACAAGGCCACCAACATTGCCACGGGCCAATCTTTCGCAATGAAGAAGATTGAAAAGCAGACTGTAAGTAAAATACCATTGTACTTAAATACATGTTCCGTTTTATAATTACTGTTTATTAACAAGCTGGTCATTATGCACGTCGGGCAGAGTTAGGAGTCTTGTTAAACTTTGAACAGTATAATCATCATACAATCATCTCATTATAACTTGTCTTTGATAGTCAGCCTTTCTATTTTCTGTATAAATTTCGGCCCCTTTTCAAACGAAAAACAACAAATTTTAAAAACGAATTTACTGTTCTTTTAAATGATGTAACAGCCTTTCTAACCGACCGAGGTTAATAGTGCTTGATTTTTACAAAACAAACTATATTTTATCGTAACGTAACGTGACAGAATTCATTCCTTACAGTTGGGAGTAACGGGACACAAGATGTTGGAGAGAGAGGTGGCTATATTGAAGAGGGTGCAGCATCCCCATATTGTGGCATTGGAGGAGGTCTTTGAGACAAGCGAGGTGAGAATGAACTTGTTATCAAAGTTTGCGATTTAGATTGCACTGTTTATGGTTTTTATAACACTCCTTCTGTGATCAAGGAGGAAACAATTTTCGAATTTAGTCATAGCTCACCTGTTAAGTTTATCTTGTGTATCATGATTTGCTCTTTTGTGAATCGTTGGGGGCCAAGCCAAATATTAATTGGTACAAATTATTATAATTTCTCTTTTTGATACCTTTACTTTGCTGTTGGCATCAATAAAACAAATGATCAGTGTCCCTTATAATGCACAGTGCACTACAACTTTTGTGAACACGGTTTGACTAATTTCTCTATTTAGTGTGCGTACAAAATATCGTAATGTTGTTGAAAACACCGCTTGTTTGACCACTACGTTCTCTGAATAGGCTTTCACTGCGCAAGTGCTTTTGACATCGGACCTTTTTAAAAGATGAAAAACAAGATTTTAAAACATGCTCACTGCGCATAAACAACAGAATATTTAGTCACATTTGGAGTTTTAAACAGTGCTCATGATCAGTGCATGAGCCACTCACTGCCCAGCCTACCACCACAACCTGATCTATTGTTCCTCCATAGTGATTCAGCGAGCGTCATGGTATTAGTACTAACACTGATCTCAACGTTTGGTTTATACCTTATAATCATCTCGCCGTGACTGCCATTTAATCAATATCGGCAATTCGGCATATATTATACGCCATCTATTATAACACCCATATCTATAAGTAGCCAAGTAACCTATTGATGTAGAGATAAGACTTCATTCAACTAGTGTCTCACTGTACAATTTACCTTTCTTTGGACGACGAGGTGGTCTCCACATGTAGAAGTGAACGTGAGAGCCAATCAGGTAGCTGGGATTGAGGGCGAGGTCCAATGAGTGGCGACTAACAGCGTTGTGTTTGGAGTGGTAATTAATACACCTTACCGCCTGCGAGTCCTTCTATTACTCAGTAGATCAGTAGAGAGAGAGGGGGAGAGAGTTGATCACATAGCTGCAAGTCTACTTCATCATATCATAAACTCATAAAGAGTACGGCTGTGCCTCTGAGCAGCTCACTGATATATACGGACTGTTTCCGAGGAACGCCTGATGCTTCATGACTATCAAATAAGCACATAGTACCTACTACTACTACTACTACAAATACTGCTATAAGTTCCGGGGAAATAACTCAAGGGCCACAGACTGTCAGCTAAGATTATGGAGCATGCTAATAATAATAATTCCGGTATAGGAACTTAGGAACAAAGGTTAAGTAATTACTCACTGCTTCACTCCCGCGGCTCGGCGTTGTTCCGCTATTTATCAGCATGCTTACCATGCAGCATGCTACGTGAAACAATATTATAATGTCTTGGTCCGTGGCCTACCTGCCAGCAATATAGGTATCAAGAAAAAATAAGATGTTAAGTTTAAAGTATAAATGATTTAGTAAGTTTCTAGTTTGAGTTGATAATAATGGTATGTAAGTGTTATAATAGTTATTAAGTTAGTTTCTAGTTTTGGTAGTTAAGGGGGCCGCGCCGGGGGGACGGGGGTCTTCATCAAAAATCGACAAAAATCGAGGTCCAAGATATTCAAAATCTAATTAAAAATCTTTAAAGGCCTATCTCTAAATTCTGGCTCTATAGTTCTCTTCCAACTGATCCTAAGAAGATATCCTGAAAGTTTGAGGGTGATTGCTCAAAAAATGTAGGAGAAAATATATTTTTAGACTCGATTTTCAGAACGCGCGATTGAAAATCGCTCGCGCAATACAATTACGCATATAAGCGCTGACCTTTGACCGGTGATATATGCGACGTTAGCAACTCTCGTAGTTAGCATGGTGTTATGCGGCTCGTAACCTTGTTAAAACATGTGATACCCACGTAAAAACCACGACCATTATCATTTATCACCGCTACTCTGCTAGGTCTAACAAAACCGAATATTACCCACAAAGCCACAAGTATAAAGTGCTTTAAATGAGTTGCACATTTAACAGCACTCGTGATATTGTGGCACCTGATAACTCTCCACTCTCCAGCAAAGTAAGAAAGTAATACCCACTACCTGGTTGTGGGTATTACGTTGCTGTTGTGGCACAACCCCCTTCTGATCCGTTTGTGGTGATTATATCAGACAGCATTGTTTCCTTGATCAGATGGTGTTTTAGGTCACACATGTGTTTTGAGTTGTGACGGATGCGATTAAAGAATGACAAGTAAAGATTCAATCACTAACTTATGGCCACTTGTGCAAGCCATCCTTAACCATAGGTGCAATATAATCAAAAAACTAACCTTATATCACTCACAAAAAGCGTGGGAAATAGCCTCATTTCCCAAACTACATCGCTTTAAGTTTAGAGTACGTGGGAAATAGCCTCATCTCCCAAACTACATCGCTTTAAGTTTAGAGTACGTGGGAAATAGCCTCATCTCCCAAACTACATCGCTTTAAGTTTAGAGTACGTGGGAAATAGCCTCATCTCCCAAACTACATCGCTTTAAGTTTAGAGTACGTGGGAAATAGCCTCATCTCCCAAACTACATCGCTTTAAGTTTAGAGTACGTGGGAAATAGCCTCATCTCCCAAACTACATCGCTTTAAGTTTAAAGTACGTGGATAACAGTACATCACCTGAGAATGTCGATCATGGTCATGGATTAAATGTTAAAATTTTAAGTCCGCGGAAAAATCTTATTTGATCATATAATCGAGTATATTATTATCTTCAACATGCACTCAACACGACAACACAACTCCATTAAACAATTATACATTCTATTCTGTAAAAGTTTCAAATCAATAATCAAATAAAATAATGAGTAAGTGATCATTGATCAAAGACAAATATCACTCGTTTTCAGGACACATATCTGTTTATGGAGTTGTGTGATAAGGGAGAATTGAAGTCACTGCTTGATAATACAGAGCTCTCCGAACTTGTTAGTACACTACTTACTTACTTACTTAGTGCTAACTCAGTACACTACTTACTTACTTAGTACTAACTTAGTACACTACTTACTTACTTAGTGCTAACTTAGTACACTACTTACTTACTTAGTACTAACTTAGTACATTACTTACTTACTTAGTGCTAACTCAGTACACTACTTACTTACTTAGTACTAACTTAGTACACTACTTACTTACTTAGTACTAACTTAGTACACTACTTACTTACTTAGTACTAACTTAGTGCACTACTTACTTACTTAGTGCTAACTCAGTACACTACTTACTTACTTAGTACTAACTTAGTGCACTACTTACTTACTTAGTACTAACTTAGTACACTACTTACTTACTTAGTACTAACTTAGTACACTACTTACTTACTTAGTGCTAACTTAGTACACTACTTACTTACTTACTTAGTACTAACTCAGTACACTACTTACTTACTTAGTACTAACTTAGTACACTACTTACTTACTTAGTGCTAACTTAGTACACTACTTACTTACTTAGTACTAACTTAGTACATTACTTACTTACTTAGCACTAACTTAGTGCACTACTTACTTACTTAGTACTAACTTAGTACACTACTTACTTACTTAGTGCTAACTTAGTACACTACTTACTTACTTAGTGCTAACTCAGTACACTACTTACTTACTTAGTACTAACTCAGTACACTACTTACTTACTTAGTACTAACTTAGTACACTACTTACTTACTTAGTACTAACTTAGTGAACTACTTACTTACTTAGTACTAACTTAGTACACTACTTACTTACTTAGTGCTAACTTAGTACACTACTTACTTACTTAGTACTAACTTAGTACACTACTTACTTACTTAGTACTAACTTAGTACACTACTTACTTACTTAGTGCTAACTTAGTACACTACTTACTTACTTAGTACTAACTTAGTACACTACTTACTTACTTAGTGCTAACTTAGTACACTACTTACTTACTTAGTACTAACTTAGTACATTACTTACTTACTTAGTGCTAACTCAGTACACTACTTACTTACTTAGTACTAACTTAGTGCACTACTTACTTACTTACTTAGTACTAACTTAGTGCACTACTTACTTACTTAGTACTAACTTAGTACACTACTTACTTACTTAGTACTAACTTAGTACACTACTTACTTACTTAGTACTAACTTAGTACACTACTTACTTACTTAGTGCTAACTTAGTACACTACTTCTCTCCAAATTAATGATTTCAATAGACCTTCAGTAGTTGGTTCACTTCATATAGTTATTTCTATTATTAATATATAAATAACTCAACATTACCCAGACATGAATGTTAACATTTACAGGAATGTGCAGAGATCATCAAGAGATTGTCCAGTACAATCGCGTATCTTCACGACAACGGCAAGTATTCATTCAATCCGTGACTCCACCGTGCTTATTTTGCAATTGCGGTGTCAACAATTAAACAAAAAGTTGCCAAAAAGTGGACGAAAGCAGTGATCTCCAGCTTATTGATCATCATATAACATACCACCAACCTCGTGTGGTAACGTGTTCGTGTGTTCGTGTGTTCGTGTGGGCAACTAAACTTTAGTGATGTTCACCTCTACTTGTGATGTATTGGTACTGTGTGTTTTATTGTTTACATGTTAAATTATGTACATGATATTCAATTATCATTCAAGTATCATAAGATGTATCTTCCATAATTGTCCACATTCTTTCAGACATTGTACACAGAGATCTGAAGTTAGAGAATATACTTTTGAGCGCTGGTGTTATTGACCCCGAGGATAGATTTAATATCAAGGTAAGTTTATATCCTACTTAGTTAAATTAGAAATCTTCCGTAAAATTTGAGTTTAGTTTAAGTTTGATTTTAATTCAAGGTAAAAGTTATGTAAATCTTATAATAATCATAATATGATACTTTATTATGTAAATATGTAAGTTAAGATCTAATTAAAAATGTAAATGTAATTTTCCGTTTGAATAAAGCAAAGTTAAAACTTCATGTTAAACTTATGAAAACCTCATCACGTACGTAAGTTCAATTTGTAATTTAATCAGTTAAGTTATTTTAAGTATAGTATTTATCCAGTATGCTCTAGATTATAGAAAGTAAAGTATCAATTTAGGAATATTGGTTATAACTGAATAAACTTTGTGCGATCGGGACGTGTGAGAATTCGGTGGTCATATTTTTAGCACACTGAAAAATAATGCGGCCGACATTTCATAGGGTGTTCATTCTCACCAGACAATGAAAATCACAACGTGTTCATTCTCACCAATTTAGTCAATATTTAAGCTAGGATTGTTTCACTTTGTTATACTAAACATACTTGGTTTCACGACTGGGCGTGATATATAATATTGCTAGGGAGAGGTGGTATTTAATAGAAGTGTTTTCAATCTACTCCATATTTTCAATCACGATATAATCAGAATTTAATCAGAATTCAAATTTGTATAAGACATTCAAGATCATCTTCTTAATGATGATGTTAAGACCTAAAACCCTAAGTATCACCAGGATAATTTGTTGTGTTGCCTTATATCACGTGACATTGTATCAGGTGACATTGTATCACGTGACCTTGTATCACGTGACATTGTATCACGTGACATTGTATCAGGTGACAGATTTTGGACTATCGTTCCTAACTGGAGGTAGTAATACGTTTGGAAGTGACAAGATGATGACGACTACCTGTGGAACTCCCATGTACATGGGTAAGCAAGGCTTGTTAACAATCATTTAAATAAAGATTTGTTATTTGAAACCCATTATTATTATTAACTAGCAAGTAGATACGTTTAGAACTAACAGCAGCTTTGGGGACTATTTAGCTGAGTACCGTTTCATTCATATCAGTACTTGCAGTGCAGATTATCTGATTATGATTCAGCGATCATGTGAAATTTGTACGTGATAATGCCATGTGAAATGACTAATTCTATTGTTCACAATCTCGATCTGTAATTTTAAAATCAACTCCTCCCACATCATTTATTCTGATTGATCATTTTGAAACGTGACAGGGAATGAACTAGTCATAAATTCAGATTAAATTCATAAGAAAGATTTTAAAACTATAATTAAACTTTAATTAATGCCGACTATTAAATTTGTAATTGTCCCATTCTGACTCAGTGCAGAAATATATAATGCTTCATAGCGAAATATTGTGGCGCACTATGAGGTGGTGTTTTTTGTATTTAATTATGATCTTTAAAACATGATTAAAAAGATCTCAAGACTTGAGAACTTGATTATTTTAATACGTAATTATTTTCAGCTCCAGAGATATTGGACAGTTCAGTTGGTTACTCTCATCAATGCGATATATGGAGTATCGGGATTATAATGTTTATTTTGTGAGTTTTGAGATATTTCCTGTTTTCTCAGGATTTTATACAGAGTTGGGCGTTTTACTGAAACGCAAAAATGATCCTGTAACTCTGTTATCTGTATTCCATTGCACAATTCATGTTCAAACAAAAAAATATGAAATTAACTTTTAAAATTTTGAGCAAGTGGTCAGATCGTTTTTCTTCCGAACAAATTGAACAGAACTCATGATGTTTCTAGAGTTTGACAACATTTTTTCCTATTCATTACAAAACATATTGATTGACTAAATAGAATGATCATGATGTTAGACTGTGCACAACACTCTATTGAGCTATTGTTTGATAAATTTCGTGGCTAAGTTTGTCTATTTTAGAGAAAAGAGACCATTTAGAAAACCAATGACACCAGTGTCATGCAGGCAGCATTTACTTTTCTTGGTACTGCTTAGTCACTTAGTGGTATCAAGAGCTCAAGACCTTTGAGCACACACATACAAACAATATAATGTCATATGCATTAACCAGGAAAACCGTACGAATACATCCGCAAACACACATATTATATAATATATTATGCATGATGATCCATTATGTATGTTAAGATGGTTGAATATTACTCTTCAAATCGATTATAAGCCTAATTTAAGTTGTCTTAGGACTGTCCCTATGAAGCTTAGTCTAAAAAATTGTACACGTTTTGCACTGAAAGAATCAATCAGGTCATTGTCATAGCTAGGGCACATATCGAGCGACCACCATAAAGTTAAGTATCAATAATTGAGATGACTCGGCGAATTTCTGACGTGATCTTGCATATCAAATTTAATACCTGAAATTCAATGGGAGCTGTCTATAGAGGTAATCTATAACCTGCTCAAGCTCTCTATCCACATATAAACTACAGTCGCTGCACTGAAAGCAGCTATAATAATACCACAGCATCAGGATATACGTCACTATTCGAACAGGACTTTGTCGGTGATTTCCGTATGTGAAACACTTGTTATTATGATTGGTCACAGTCGCGAATGGCGTGGTTACAATTTTTAAATACTCGATGCAACGTGATGAGACATATTTGTTACTTTGAGGAACAGGATATAATTGGACGCGACAATGATAAATATGGCCGGAATTCCAGGATTCTTCCTAATTTAGGTGTTATTCGATTAATGGAGTAATGACTGCCCTATGAAATATTTGTATGAATATTTGTATAACAATAAAAATATTGAAATTTGATATAATGGAAGAAAGAGGGTACCGGTTAATTTTAGCTCCTCCCCAGGTTAAGTAGGAAGACTCCATTTGAGGCAGACTCCGAGGATGAGCTGTACGAAAAGATAAAAGCTGGAGATATAAAGTTTGAAGGTCCGGAATGGGAAAACATCAGCGAATCAGGTATGTTAGGATTGCGTACAGCTTTTGTTTTTGACTCTTGAAATTGTCCGGTTGTTTTGTATCGCCACTGTACAGATACCTATCAAGCAAAACTCACTCAGATGTATGCCTATCCTCTTGTGAACATTAAATCTATTTGAAAGCAATTGTCGAGCAGTTTTTGTGCACGATAATGATGGCTTTGACACGGTTATGACGTCACAAACACGGTTATGACGTCACAAACATGATAAATTAGCTCATAAGCTGTGGATTTTGACGTGCGAAAGGTGCGTGGACACATTGAGCTTGTCATGTTCACACGATGTTCATTAGCAATTTATTGGTGGCTCCTTGGAAAGATTGTAAATCTTTAAATGATTGTGGCAGTTTTGTGTGGTAATAGTGGTAGGAGGCAATAGTAAGTATCGATAGGTGGAGAAATTTAATATTAGTTTTGCAACCTGATAATATGTAACAAACTGGCGCCCCTGGTAGAAAATGCAGTCCCTTTTCCTTGGAGCTGTCGTCTCCTGCTCTAAGTATATTAGCGTCCATTGTTTATAATTACATATACCCAATTATTGCAGGCTGTGAAGTATGAGAATTGAGTTATTTTAAACCTTTTCAAAATCATTTTGTTGGGTGGGTCTTATTTTTGGGAGCAAACATGACGACCTTCACCCTGTAAATGTATGTGATCAGGACCCCAGTCGAAATGGCTATAATTGAAAGATTATAGAAGAAAAAACAGACGAACCCATGTTATAGGCTCTAGCAACATTGTAAGGAAATTGTAAAAAATCCGCACTAATGCCAAACTTACTTATTCTTGAATATTGCAAAAATGCCACATTTGAAGTATCATATTAGTATCATTTCTCAGAAATGGTTTCTGTATATCGCTTGAGTAGGCAGGTGTACCTACTGTAGAAATCTAATTAGATTAATTTGATCCTTGTCGGTTTCAACTGATATTATGATATCAGTTGAAACTTTAATAACAAAGTTTGATATAACTCTAAAAGCACATTGAGCTTGTTGGCAAATTTACGAAATTTTGATTTTCTGGCCAATTTTTCTCCCCACCCCTTCTCGATTGGTTTAAACACCTTTACAGCATGAACTGATAAATAACATAATAAACCAGTTTTCCGGTAATTTTGGGGAAATCAGACATTTAGAAAATGTTTCCATTTTGAGGAATCATTATATGCAACTACTAAAACAAAACGCGCGAAAGCATTTTATTTGAATAAATTTGTCATCTAAAGTCGGCAGTGTGTTATTTTATGCAAGCGCGCGGCGCGTCTCCACTTTCAATCACATGAGTTCTAGGGCCATTTCATCTGCCACATGGCCATCGTCTCACTGCAGATTTGGAATATGCTCTAATACATTACCACGTTGTTGATCGGAGACATGTAACGTAGTATTGCATGCTAAATTTCAATTAATTTAATGTAAGATTATCGCACACCGACAAATAATATAAAATAACACGCCCTTCGATAAAGTTAATTTCATTTCAGCAAAAACTCTCATCAAGTGCATGGTGAAAGTGGACCCGGCAGCCAGAATCACTGCTAAAGAAATCAAGGATCACCACTGGGTCAGAGTATGTGATTCTTTCATCTGCATATGGTTCAATGTCACTGGATACTTCTTTCCGTGCTATCAAATCGAATTGAAAAACGATTTTCACGATTCAAATTTGATTCTTACCTTCAAAATTCGTTATACCTCAAGTTATCGTGCTCCAGCTTTCTGGGGTGAAATTTTAATTTCCTAAGATTGGATAATCGTTTACGGATCGGGGATTCCTACTCGATTAGGTTGAGTGAGGCGATTGCAGATTGAGTAATTGCATGCCCTACAAAATGACAAATTAAAAATGACCTCTGATTCAATAGTAATGTTGAAGTCCCTCCACCTTATGTAACCATTTCATTTCCCCGAATCAGAACTGACCGTTCTCCATTACAGGGTGACAGTAACGATAACAGTAACGACGACGACCAAATGACAGTTATTGAAATGATGAAGATGTTCCACCGTGAAAACTTACCCCAAGCTGATGTCGAAATAAAATTAACTGAGGTAATTGTTTTCTAGATTGGTTAGATTTCCAAGCTAAGTCAATGATGTACGTTTTCTGAAGAAAAACAAAACCGATGTACCATGCAATATGATACATGCATATTTCTTTCGAATAAATTCAAGCAGCAAGTTGTTTGCAGTGGTGGCAATTATGATGCTCTTTAGATAATAGATTAGAATATTGGTAGTATCCAGTATAGAGATGTTTTACTGTAATGTTCTAAAGCTACTAAAACAAATATATTAATTATAAGTGTTTAAATAAATTACGGGTATTTGCCTCACAGAATGGCCAAAAAAAAGGAAGGTCTCTCAAAGTCACAAAACACACTTTATTCCAGTTTTTATCTCATAAGAAGCTAAGTTGACACTCATATTTTTCTTCCCGGGGGTTCATTTAATCTCATAACCATTTTTTCTTTGAGAAAAATTGGCCGGAAAATCTTCCTCGAAAAAAACATGCCTCACAGAATGGCCAAATCTGAATTTCTATAATTTTGTTGATGGAGATACTTTTTAAATTTCTATCACCACACGTTCTTAGAAAACCTATTAAGGAATGGGGTAATAACCTAAAACTCACGAAAAAACTGAGCTGTGAAAAATTATTTCACAAAAAAGAAAAAATGCCTGACAAAATGGCAACAAAAAAAAGAAAACGAGAAAATTTTATTTTTCTAAAACCTTTGGCTCTTGTTTCAGGCATGCTGCTGGTATTAATATGCCTTGTTAACACCCCCATATAGGTGAAATTTCTTAGAACTGAATAAAAAGGGCATAATTTCCTACACCAAAAATGGCCATTTTGTGTGGCGTTGTTCATATTCCCTGATTTCATGATTTATAACCTTCATTCGGCTGTAAAAACACTCCATCTGGGGTGTTATTGTATAATAAATAGCTTGTGAATACTTTAGACTTATGGTTTCATTGAATAAAAGGAGTTTTAAATTTTGGCCATTTTGTGAGGCATATTTTGGCCATTTTGTGAGGCGTTTAGCCATTTTAACATTTTGTTTCTTCCTAAATTGAACAATGTTCGTTTTGTTTGATGAATACTATTCTTTAAACATCTTCTGTCATACTGGTGCCAGAAGTTCTCACCAAAATGCAAACTTAGTTCAAAAATTTGAAAAGAAATTTTGTGAGGCATATTTTGGCCATTTTGTGAGGCGTGTAGCCATTTTAGCATTTTTTTCTTCCTATATTGAACAATGTTCGTTTTTTTTGATGAATACTATTCTTTGAACATCTTCTGTCATACTGGTGCCAGAAGTTCTCACCAAAATGTAAACTTAGTTCAAAAATTTGAAAAGTGCTCAAAATTTCTACATAAACAGTCATATTTATGCCAGAAAATGTGGTCCTAGTTAATGATTTCACCACAGGAAGTGTTGCCAGAAGACTTTTGTTTCATATGGTATCCACAAAACCTACCAGTCTTTTATAAAAAATTAGTTACAAAAACATTTACAAATTTGGCCATTCTGTGAGGCTAGCCATTCTGTGAGGCATTTACCCGTATATCTGTAAATAATACTTGACGGCATTTATTTTAAACAGGTTTTAGAAGCAGATGTTGAAGAAAAGAAGGATGTTGTGGTTGAAATTCCTACTCCTCGAAAGAAATTTACTCCTAAAGAAAAGGTATTATTTTGATCAACTTTCCACACGGTGTAAATGTACTCTCGGGTTTTTTAAGTTAAGGAAATATTTGTTCCGATACTGATATAACTATAAGCTCACGTAAAAAAGCAAATTTTTCTGAAACTGCGCTGACCAGTCAAGACATTTTTTCAGAAAGCCTTACCAGAAAATCGACGTATGTCTGTTGACCCGCATCTTATAGCGGCCAGAAAAATGGGGGTACGTTTAAAATTGGATGCATGTGTAGCATGGCGAGATTCTATCCTGTTGCCAACCTTAAACCTTTTTGCTTTGCTCATATAAGCTGAAACTGCTGAAAGGGTGTCCTTGTTTTTCATATTTTGTCTGAATTAGTGCACGACCAGCTTAAGATGTACATAACATGCTGACTATTTTGTTTAAGTTGATTTCTTGATGTCGATCTCCACTGTGGCAGCCAGTGCCCTGGTGCCCTGAAGGACGGCGCAATATTCTTAAACCTGTCATGTTTAATCTGGCTGTTAAAACTCGTACAAAGCTGAATACGATAGATAGTGGTTGAATATTGCAACAGCTCTTGATTGAAGTATTATTGCATAATTCAGCATAGTTAATTCTGCGATTTTTTGATGTTTTATTTAAAATTAATCGTCCTACTTGAAGACTGTTGCGAGTAAGTCGTTGAAGACGCGCTTTTAATAAAACATTGTTACAATGTTGGCAAATTAACTGTTTTCATAACCCATATGTTAAATGTATAACTGTTATGTTAAAACTAAACTGTTAAAGGGGCGGCATGATCGCATAGTCCACCAAACAGTCTTGAGTCTGCAACATCGATAAGATGATAATGACAATATCTTGAAATGCTTGAAAAGAGATCTGCCCTTCCTCTGATAAAGTCATCACTTTAAGATCATTCATCTGTTCCGTGTAACTTTAACTGTTAAATATTATAAACTATTGTAATGTAAACACTTTACTGAGGCAATGCTTCTGAAGAGAAGTGACTACCAAATGACGTGCATTATCAGTATTACAATATCCCACAAAATTTTCGAACAGCCGTAAAAAACGAACAAAAATTCACACACAAAAAAAAGGTCATTATCTCGGACTCGCCTCAGAGCCCGGTCTTTGCACTTGATGCGTTGTTTTGGCATACTACTGAAATCCGTGTGTCAGGCATTGACTGGATGCGTAGTCGGGTAGGGGTTACGTTTCCAAATTTCGAAGTTCTTCCTGATGAAGAAAATTATTTAATACTTTGGATGATTTTATTTTGAAAGGCTTCTTATATGACATGCATTATATGACATGCATTGATGCATTGCTACCACTTTTTTGTAGGCATTAGATGGCAGTTGGAAATGCAAAAAAGAAGAAAGGATGTTATAGAGGTTAGATGTTTCTAAATGGTACCCTTGCTGTAGAGTCACACATTTTGTAAATCAGCTGACGTTTTCGTTTTAAAATCAAAACTGTACCAAGAATGTATATTATCTCATTGAGCACAGTTAGTAAATTTGATAGGAAAATGTTTTAAATAAATACTGGGTATCGATGGAGCAATTCTCGACAACAATATTCATTTATACATTCATTTGTACCTTGACTATGTGCTGTTCTGATGTGATGTCTGGATGTTGAGGGTGGTGGCAAAGTGTGAGCTTTTTTATCATCAGTCTTTGAAAACGTTAAACCAGTAGTAGTTGCTAAAATAAGCAGGAACTTATCAATGATAATATAGTAACAGCTTTTTACAACTTTAAATAATTAAGTCGAGTTTGAAAGTCTACGTAATTCCTAAAATCCTTCGCATTTATTTTGAAATGGAAAGTGGAAGCACGTGATTATCATTGCACGATCATAAGGATTATAAATACCTTGCTGAAGAGTCTCTAGACACGGTGTCCTCCTTTTGATCCTTGAAATGACAAAGGATCTAAATCCAGAAACTGTTAGAACGTAAGTAAAGAAGTTCGCTATGACATTGAGGGTAAGGACCGTGAACGCGGCGCCGTAAAAATGCGTGTAAAATGAGCTAGGCTGGTCGGGATTCTTTTCCACGTATTGTTCAGCAATAGAGTAAATAGAGAGCGGGAGGACTGAAACAGTGTACATGGATGCTGAAACGATTACCATCGTGATTCCTTGCCAGCGTAAAGTTATATTAGACTTTCGTGAGCACTCCACTGCCTTTATGATGAGAATAACTGTGGCCACTACAGTTACTACACTGGGGGTCAGCAGAATATGGAACGAGCTTATCGGAGCCAGAAAATTCCAGGTATCAGAGGAAAATCCGTAGTCGTGAGTAAAGATCCTGGAATCAAAGTATATGTCATCCTTGTCTACTATGAGAAAGGTAATGGGGGTGTAGAAGGAGATCAGCCAGATAGCCAGACAGACTCTGTGAGCAAGCTTACTTGTCCAAGTACTCGATCTAAGGGGGTATGTCAGCATCAGCAGCTTGGTAGTTGTCAAGCCACAGATTAATAACGTGCCAGCTGGGTAGCAATAGTAGGACACATAGACTCTAGTGTAGTTACAGAACCTCCCCATATCCCAACCATCCCCACCTATAACCGTTGAAACACCAATGGGCAGCACTCCAATCACAGACAGTACCAGATCACATACTGCCACGTGCTGAATGAACGTTACAATGACTTTATTAAGGTTGAAAGCCCTGTATTTAATGGAAGCGTACAGGATTGTGGTGTCTCCAAGGACGGAACTGAGCACTACGAACATGTACCAGCCTGCCCAGGTGTATCTTAGGGCGTCGTTCTTTATCTCAAACAGAGAGCTATTAGAGTAGTTGTAGGAAGTCATATCTTACAACTTTATACTAAGTTATTGCCACTAAGTTATAACATAACGCAACTAACGAAAAAGACAATGTATCATTGGGTGTAAAAAATGTTATGTTGCGTAGACTAATGTTATTATCAGATTAGATGTAATATGGTGTCTTGTAGTTGTATAATTATATTCTGTGTTTACATAATTATGGCATATTTCGCTCCTTTATTATTCATTGCTGTACACGTCTTCATAGGTTAAGTAACAACTTTTGCTTTTGGGATTCCTATAATTTCAGATAAGAAGATTCTTAACTTCTAACTCTCAAGACTCAACATGTTGTAGTCGACCTCTAAGATTTATTTTGAAAACCTTCCACGTTAACCAAACCATTCGCAGACAAACTCACCCCGACGAACGTCACTGCCTACGACAGCGAAAACTACTCCGATAAAAATGTCGAGAAACAGAAAACCAGGACCCGACTCAAAGAGAGATGATAGAAAACAGACCAACTCCCAGACGGTGAAATAATAACAATCAGCCCAACATTGGAAACATTTCTCCCGCGTTTTATTTCGTGTTGTGTGACAATATTTCGGACCGGGCTATCGATCAAATTTCCACTTAATATCAAGCTGGCCTGGCTTTATAACATTTCGGATATTTACTGCTTCAGTGCGGTAAAATGCGGTAAAATTGCATCAAGAGCCTTGGATGGCTGATGTAAAGTTTTTTTGGAATGATGGTTATGTTAGAGAGAAGTTTAATCCAACAAGGCAATCAATAACATTACGAGTTTATGTACATTTGACATTGTAAATATTCTATAGAGGTGTCGAAATTGGATTTCAGTTTTTGGAGGTTGGAACGATATTCAAGTTTGGATTAAGTTACATACACACTCAAACATGGCAAAATCCAAGAGGATAGGTTTGCACCAACTTTGCCATTCTTCGTTATATGCGGATTTATTAAAAGTTTGATATATCCACCTTACAAACACAACATGTTTAACAAACACATAATTTATACACAGCCGTATAAAGCTTGCCTCTAGATTTCTTTCATTTAATTTAATTCTAATGAAATGTCGATATCTTAGCGGCCTGCTTTTTGCCGACGTGGACGTTTTCCTGTGAGTGAATGTATAAGAATGAGAAAACTGGTGGCACCTCGATCTGATTTTGTAATTTTGATTATCGATCGTACTGTTACAATGATTAATGAATATTGTGCACTAAAGGCCTCGCCCACTGATCAGGTTCATGTTTTGAAAATGTGAGATTCCTACAGTTTTGACGATGAATATAGTGATAATTTAATGAGTTCCAGTAATTTGTGATTGTAAAAGTGTTGATAACGATCAGCAGTTGTTAAAATCAAGCGTTATTAGCTGTCCTGTTCCAAAGGAGCTAGAGTGATTGAACAGCTTTTGGCAAATGGGTAATAGCTATTAACCGGCTATTAACCGGCTAGGCTGTCCGGCTGTTAGCAGGTCAATTTTGTACCTATATATCCTGCTTAGTAAAGAATAGAACTTGTTCCTACGTGAAGCATTTAATTTTTTGTAATAATGCTAAAATTTAACAAGTTATAGAATATGTGTTATAGTGTTAACTGTTTTCTAGCTTCAATTTTTGTACTTAGCTTACTGCTTTATTGCTCAGCAAGGCTTGCCTCGTCAGAGATTATTTTTGTTAGCTATAGTTATAAAAATAAAATGAAGATAAATTTATACTAAATGTGCTGAAAAACATATTCGACGAAGAAAAAATGTATTTTATAAAACGAACATTTCGTTAGTTACACAACAAAAAAGCACTGCAGTACTGCTGTTGATATATACAGCAGTACTGCAGCTGCAGTACTGCTGTTGATACCAACAACAAACGTAAAATATGGCGGAAATGTTACTGTCACCAAGATGTAATCAGATCGAACGCAAAAATTAGATCGAACCGGTTTGATCTAGGAATTAGATCGAACGCTGGCGCGAGATACATATACAAATACATTGAAAGCCGCGCCGCGCGTTCGATCTAATTCTTAGATCGAACCGGTTCGCTCTAATTTCTGCGTTCGATCTAATTACATCTTGGTGACAGTTATCCCTGACGGTCCAAACAATCTTATTTTTAACCAAGATCAGAATTATTTGCACAACATATAATACAGATTCCTGATTATTCGTTGGTCGTTGATAGAGAAGTTTATAACTGACGAAAATAATCTCCGATACGGTAACTGTTATAGAAGTACAGAAACGAAGGTTTGTCTTCAGAGTCACCGAAAATAGAATCGGTATATCACTTATATGATTAGTTTTTCAATTATATTTCTTTTGTAATGCCTGATTTTACTGGTCAGAACTAGATTATAATTGCTTCCGAATTCATTTTGATAATAAACCACTTTGCACTTATAGTTAATCCTAGTGTTATCGCTTATGAATTATAGTGCTTATTGTACAGATTTTTAGGAAGGGCATTTATTAGTTGATGTTACACAGGGAGACTAAAGTGCCAAGAATCTGCTGCTCACTGCTACTAACTGCTGCAAATGGCGCGCGCGCGACAGCAGCAGTAGCAGTTTCTTTGCACTTTAGTCTCACTGTGGTTATGGTTCATTATTAATATTATCCAGAATGTCCCTCCGGCCAACATACACAAAATTGATGCTGTTCATCGAGCGACATCATTGCATAGCATAATTATAATGCGAATTAGTGATTTATAATTTATCTGTCCTATTGTTGATAAAACTAAAAGTATTCGTTTTTAAAAGCGTTTATAGATTATCTGTTTTTCTTCTCAAATTCTTAGTTTTTCTGGTGGGCTGGCTAGATCAGGCCCACGAAACCTTACTGACAGTTGACACGGGCATAACTTTAAAATTAAAAGATATAAATACTTCAGGTTTTTAGTTCACATAGCCATGTACAACTACAATGTACGTGTCTAAACGTACTGCGTGACGCGCTTGTATTTCACTGTGCCGCCTTCGGCGGTCGTGCGCTACTGCAAGCAAAAGGGCTCTGGTACGGTAAGAGCAAGATTTTTATATTTTAAAATGATTGTTTTGTCATTTGTAAAAAATAATTGTCATACGTTGTATGACCCGCCGCACACGAGTGCGCGGCTCCCCTGTATCGTCGAAACTCACTAGATAGTGAAGCGACAGTGGGAGTCACCACGTGATTCAAAAAAATAACGTTTCCTCCGCACGAGGAAAATTACATTATTGACGAATGTTACTCGTCTAAATTTCTTCGAAGTAGCGCGCGCCGCTTTCTTCTCGAAATGCCCGACGGCAAGTGCTACGAAGTAGCGCGCACCGGACCAGACCATTAACAATGGTCAATTACATTAGAGAGATTGTAAATTTTGAGTTATCCCGAAAACTATAATGATCATGAAATTTTGGGCCATACCAAATAAAAGGTCGCAGCGCCTACCAAACCAAGACGCGCGAGTTGGACGTTCGTTTGAAACAAATATTTTACGAGTATTTATATCACTTGATTGACGATGTCAATCCGTCGAGATCGTTGCTCTGCAAAGCAGAGCAACGATCGTCGACAAGAATGCTAGTTCGACAAGAATGCTAGTTCGACAAGAATGCTAGTTCGACAAGAATGCTAGTTCGACAAGAATGCTAGTTCGACAAGAATGCTAGTTCGACAAGAATGCTAGTTCGACAAGAATGCTAGTTCGACAAGAATGCTAGTTCGCGCGGCGCGTCGAAGCGGCGAAGTCCTCCAATTATATCACCCGTTAAGGAAATTATAGATTTTGAATTATCGCGAAAAGTTTTATTATGGGCCGTATAAAAGTGCGCAGCTTTAACTTTGCGGATTTATGTTCTCTGATTGGCTGTATTGTACTACGCAGAGGCGGCTCGTGGGAGGTGGCTGGCAGTTTTGTTGGGTGTCCAATCGACAGACTGAGGATCAAGGGGTTCAGGTTGCTCTATCCAGAGCCCTTGCGCTTGCAGTAGCGCGCGCCCGCCTCACGGCTTTTCTTGACTTGTGAAACAAGCGCGCCCGCAGTGGCGCGAAAGCACATGGTTAGGTGAAGGGTTCAGGGGTGGGAGACTTGGGGCCGGGCCCACGCTCCCTCCAAACTACCAATTACATTACACACAGGGCCTCATGTATTTAATGTGTCCCACTTCACAGCTAGCGGCGACTGCAAACAAAACCAAAAACTTATAATATGGGTGAAACAAGACACCACACGTATACGATCTCAGCCGCGCAGTATGATAGTGCAGTCAATAGTTCAAATTGCAAGGTGTCCTGGACGACCAAATCATATAAATTACCTATAGTGGGATGCGCTTGATGTGCTTTGTACCGTTTACAATTAACAATGTGTTAAAACTGCGCGGCTAGGCTTTGTCGTCCAAAGGTAGGATTGGACGACCAACAACACAAAATTTCAAAAAATCATGCGTGCGCTTTCATTCCAACGTTTCAGTGAATAACTGGACGCCCTCAATAGCCGCCTCTGGTAGTGGTACAGTTATAGTTAGGATTTGATTCACGATGTCAATCCTTCGCATCTCGCCGATCTGCATACGTGGTGGCGAGAAGAATTATTTGATGCGCGGCGCGACCCAGTAGTGCATCGCGCTACAAATGACAAAGTTAGGATTACCTGGCACTTGATCTGGCACTTGTATCTGGTATTGGATCTAAAGATAGGCTGATATATAGACCCAATATTTTTATCATTTCATTAACGGGTGATACTCGTAAAATATTTATATTTGTTTCAAATATATAACAGGACCGTACCGACGAATGCAACTCGGCGCGCGTCCTGGTAGGTTATAAACCTAGCTACAATTATTTTAACGCATCAATTCAAATCAAGTTTATTCGGATATATATTTATTAATTGATTGTGTATTGAATTGGTGATATATAATAAAATTGTCTTTTCTCAAAAAAATGTTTCTCACAATTTAAAAAGATGTTGTGTCATTTTACTCAATTTAAAATCTACACCATTGGGATTTTCGAAATGACATCACTGCTACTGCTTAACATTTTACAAGTTGTTACTCAACAATCTTATTTTAACAAAAATAGCGTACATGTTGAAAATCGCAAAATTACAATTTTTTATTTCTCCATATTTCATCAAAAAATTCATTTTGGCGCATTGGTCGGAATAAATAAAACATTTGGTAAGGTAAAGTAAAGCAAAGTAAAATTTATGACATCACTGATCACATTATCACACGTACATGTCTACAAAATATTTGTAGGTTTATAACCTACCAGGACGCGCGCTGAGTTGGACTCGTCGACGCGGTCTTGAAACCAGAAACAAATATTTGATAAACAAATATTTTACGAGTATCACCCGTTAACAAAATATTGAACGATCTCCTGCTGCTAGGAAAAACTCGTACCGTTCGAACCATGAACGAATACACGAGTTTGCGGTTAAAGGTTCGCACTTACTGCTCGTCGCCATTTGTTGAATCGTTGAGACAAAGGATACACTCTAGTGGTGAAACATTAAAGGCTAAAACAGTAGCAATTGGTTAGTAATATATAAATAACATAAATCAACAATATAACACATCGCATGTGAAAAAATTGTATCACGTGGTGACCCCCACGGTCGCTTCACTATAGTGTCTTCACTACAGGGGGAGCCGCGCACTTCGTGCGCGGCGGGTCATACAACGTATGACAATGAAAAAATACATAACAAATATTTCCCTACCATGTGCCAACATTAATTATTTAATTATTTATCAAATACAATATTTAAAAAATATTTATCAAAAACATAATCCTTATTCAAAACCTTGCCACACAAGGATGAAACCAAAGATAATCGTTAGGTTTTTCTTTATTACTGACATATCTGGCTCCCTCGATTCTTACTATAAAACTTCATTAGAAACATCCCGAAACAAGCAATCATTTGTAATCCTTTTAGAAATCATATCTTTCTGAAATCCTTGTAATTTAATTTTAAAGCCTAAAACTGTCACAGAGTTCTTGTCGTCCGGAGGGAGTTTTTTCCAATATGGAATAACTCGCTCCGGGAGAAAAGACTTCTGGATATTCTTGATTTTAGTTAAATTTCTACTGCATCTGTTGCTTTCTTCAAACAAGATTAAGACCGGATCTGCTAATTCTAAACATCCCCAATCATAATCAGTTAAAACTTAAACCACTTGTTACTTTAAAAGCTTCTATGAGGTCCCCACGTATTCGCCGCTCTGCCAGCGTTGTCAAATTGAGGATTTCCAGTAGGACTTTTTTCCTGTGTTTGGAAGTTGGAACAAACTGTAAAGAGAAACTGCGAACCATGATGCCTTATATCTTAATATTCTCTAATACCATTTGCACAATCATGGACATGACATATATTCAAACTTTTGCAGTAAGTTGGATAAAAACAGGATAAAGACACAAATCAGCCCTGGGCTAAAACGTAAAACCTGCCAGATTTTGTTCTATGAAATTAATCCCTTCAGTATTAGACAATAGTCTGCTTCCAGAGGTATATCATGATTCATTAAATAATTTGTGCACTATTATACAATCCTTTGCTATTTCATAAAATCTAATCCTTAATCCTTCATTCTAATCTCCTCGATCGATTTAGCTGAATGATAGGAAACTTAATTGAGGGTTAAATGAGGATTGAGGAGGGGTACCTGTTAAAAGTTCAAAGAAAATTCCTAGGATACCCCTTTAGTGCATACTGTAAACATAGTACTATTAACTATTAACTATTAATTATTATTATTCATCCAGAAAACTTGGGCTCTATGTCAAGTGGTTCTGTCATCAATGATGACTCTACAAAATGAGAATGCTGACCAAGAACATGAACCCTATGCACCCCACTGTGTTATCATAGTGAAAGGAATCCAGGGTTTTGGATTTAATGTCAGAGGTCAAATTGATGAAGGTGGTCAGTTAAAATCTATTAATGGCAGCTTGTACCCTCCTTTGCAACACATCAGCAATGTTATTCCTGGGGGCCCAGCTGACGCAGCAGGAGTTCTCATGGGTGACAGGTAATTGTGTAATTAAACTGAGTTGTCGAGAATGTCAGGACTAAGTACTTTATTTAAACTGACAAATGTCTTTTCTCAAAAAAATTGTCTTTTCTCAATTGATTCTTATCAATGTGTGACATCATTATTGGTGTTTTAGAATATTATTATCTAGGGTAAATCAAAATTTTCATCCTCATATTAATTGTTTAAATTTCAGAATTCTGGAGGTGAATGGGATCAATGTGGAAGGGGAATCTCACTCCAAAGTTATTGAATTGATAAAATCTAACCCAGAGAAATTGAGGATGTCACTTATGAGCGTACCCCCTAAAGAGAATGAGCGTCTTGATGGAGAGTCAGTATCATATTGTAGTGAGGACGAGTTTGAACTCCATAAAGTTGATGTGACCATTCCAAGTATGTCCCAAAAGGACGAAAATGGAAAAATTGTTGTTTACTATAATGTGTACATTGATGGCAAATTTCTATGCTCTCACAGGTACAAAAACTTTCATGATCTGCAAGTTGATCTGAAAAACAAGTTCTTTCAGTTTGACTTTCCAAAATTTCCGGGAAAATGGCCATTTCAATTGAGTCAAACACAGCTAGAAAAAAGACACAAAGAACTTGAACAGTGGCTCATTCAAGTTTGTTCGGTGGCTCAATTGTTTAACCATTTTTATATTCAAGATTTCCTTGGGCTTGTTAACAATGACAAAAACAACGAAAAGGCAGACATTTCATCCGTTGGATCTAAAAGTGAACCAGATAATGCTGATATCAAAGTTCTCCTGCCTGATCGAAGCTCAATCTGTGTAAATATTCCTACTGAGTCTTATGTAAAGCAGCTCATAGAAGCTATCTGTGATAAGATAAACATTTCACATGAAAACTCACAGTACTTCTCTGTTTTCAAATCAAGTGATGCAGATGTCTTTGAGGTTCCCCTTTCTTTGAGTGAAAAGCCTCTTGAATTACATGTACAAAACTATAATGAGTCAGGAACACTGAAGTTCACATTTAAAAAGTTTATTTTCTCGAGCAAAGATGAAAACGAAATCGCTGAGGACCCAGCCTGCTTGAACATCTTATACCAACAAGCTGTAGATGATCTGATCAATAAAACGTTTGATACAACAGGAAAGGAGATAGAGCTTAAGCGCACTCAGCATATCTCTACTCAGCGAGAGTTTTTGGAAGTGGTCCAGTCATGTCCTGGTTACAACACAGTCTCATTCCCTCACTGTGCGTGTGACAGTCGTAAAGATGGACATGTTATTTTGTCAATTTCCTTTCAAAAGATTTCAATACAAGCCTGCCTTTTGACGGGGGAGAAACAAGATCAGATCAAAAACTTCACTTGGGCTACAGTCAGTGATTACGGCTCTGATGGAGAAATTTTCCATTTTACGATCTCCAAAAGCAACTCAGAGAGGAAAATATCCTTGACGACTCCGTTTGCTGATTTTATGTCACAGAGTTTTGATCGAATCACTGCAAGCAGGGACAGTGTTACTTCAACTTAAAAAATAATTATTAGCATTGTAGGTAGCAGTAGAATATTCAATAATGAATACTCGGATTGTAAAATTACCATTTTATAGATATTTTGAACATGTGTTAAAAATGCAATACGTAATGATTGATCAGGTTGCAAATTTGGTTGTTTAATTTCTGCAAAATTCTTTTTTTAAACGGCAAAATTAAATTGTTTTGGATTAGTTGAGTTAGTATTTAGTGGGCAGCTAGCTATTGAGATAATTGTTTTCTAAATTGAAGATGTTAGATTTTTTCTCCTGATCTGAAATCAAGAATGAATTAGTAATAGTATGCTTACTTATTTATATTGTAAATCTAGTGAATATAGATATTATAACGGATCTTTAAGTTTTCTAGTGCAGGACACGTTGAGCTCAAATAACAGGTGATGGACTTCACTTGCTGTAGTTTCAAATTTCAATTGTAATCTTTGGTGTGTAAAACTCATTCATTTCTGTTCAGATAGAAAATTTTTGTGAACATTTCATTTTCTATGTATCTTACGAGATGTTAAACGACGTTATGAATCTTCAATATTGGATTTTTGTATACGAAATTCGACTCAATACATTCTTATAATTTGAAGTTTTATTCCAGAGTCTTAAAATCCAATTAACTTGGTAAATCCACATATCACGAAAAAATTCGTTTCACACTTAAATTATTTCTCACACATTGTCGTATTTAAAGTCATTTCCCGAATTTCATACACTCCTTTAAACATCTCATCTTTCTACCTATTCAATTAGCTTATTTAAGGGTCATTTTATAAGTAAGTGTGTCAATGTGAAAAGATATCTTGCAGCCTGTTTGATTTTTTACATGCATTTACCACCGTGTTTATATATTTCCAGTTCTTGTGTCCTTCACTCCTTTCAAAGCTCTAGAAATGAATGGTTTAGAAGATTAATGGAGGTGAAATCAGAGGATCCCAAAAAAGCGCTCAGAGAACGCATATGGGAGGTGATGGAGAGAGAGCAGCTTGTTCCATACCCACTCCCCCTCACAGGCCGTATCCCCAACTTCTACAACAGTAAAAGTGCAGCCTACAAACTGTGTTCCACAGGAGAGTTCCGCTCTGCAACTACCATCAAGATACACCCCAGCCTCAATGCTGAACCACTGCGGCACCTCGCTCTAAAGTTCGGTAAAAAGGTCCTGACCCCACCGTTACCCGGGCACGATTTCCTCTACTACCTACTTGATCCAGCGTGTATTGAACCTGCCTTCCACAAGTTTGCTGCCAGTAAGAGAGGGTTCAACAAGTTAGGTATTCGCTGTAAACTCTCGGAAATACCTCCAGTAGATCTGGTGGTGGTAGCAAGTGTTGCCTGTACTCTGCAGGGTGCTAGAGTTGGTAAAGGTAAGGGCTACGGAGAGGTGGAGTATGGGATACTCAGGGAAATGGGTGTGGTGGACGACAATGTGACAATTGCTACTGTTGTTCATGATGCACAGGTTGTGGAAGGTAGTTGTTTGCCCCTGGAGTCTCTGTCGTGTCATGATGTCCCCGTTGATATTATCTGTACTCCAACTAAAGTGATCAGAACTATGACTAGTGTTCCAAAGCCGGGAGGGATATTTTGGGAACTTATTTCCGAGGTGATGATGGATGATATCGGGGCGTTAAAAGAATTGAAGTCGTTGAAACAGATCTGAGTAGGATGAAAAACTGAGCAGTCTTTAGTTAGTTTCGCTCAGAAACTTAGCAGTCTTTAGTTAGTTTCGCTCAGAAAGAAATAAAATCACTTTTTGTAGCACTGTTAGTACCTTATCATCATCATCGGGCTTTTTTCTGTTAACCAGTTTTCCTTAGAAGCATAAATAAAATAAAATTGCTAACATTTTTATATGAATTCTCACTCTATTATAATATTGACATCAAATCTCTCATACTATCTGCGGCGGTTTTGTGCACTATATTATAATACTTGTTACTATATTATAATACTTGTTACTATATTATATAATTACTTGTTACTTGTACTAAACTCCATTTATACCTGTAGGATGAGCTCGAAGAGCAAGAAAGCAGACGCTGAGAAGTTCCAGCACCAACTGTTGGAGGTACTGAAGGATGATCCCAACAGAGTGTGTGCTGATTGTAGAGCTAGAGGTCCTAGATGGGCAAGTTGGAACTTAGGTTGGTTGCAAGTTAATAGCTTACATTATAATTTATATATGCGATTAATTTTGACTGAGCATTATATTTTAGTTAATCAATAATTTATACAGTACTTTGATTGGATTGATTTATTGTTATCTTCTTAAGAAATCATGAGATGCACGGTAACTAACCAATTTAATCATAAATAAACGATATTTTTCAAATTCCATCAAAAGCTTGCGTCCACTCGTTCAGTAATTGGGGTAATTTGATAACAAGTTACAATAATCTCCTCCCAGGTGTTTTCATTTGTATAAGATGCGCTGGTATGCATCGTAACTTAGGAGTGCACATTGCTAAGGTTAAATCCGTCAACCTCGATACATGGACTCAAGAACAGGTAAACACTATTTCGCTAATTATGTATGAAAAGTGCAGCATATTTCTTCAAACTATTTGCACATTTCTCACATTTTTCTAACTCGACAAGATTTCTGTAAAAGAAGGCACAGAAAATATGGCTGTAATTTTTGTCCAGCGTATGACAAGCTAGACTGTGGTAAATTGTTTGTCGACTTGTCCTTAAAATCTTAAGATTTTAACCTGCGGAAGTGTTTATATAGTGAGATGCTCTCTGAAAACTTCAAAATACATGTATTTAGCTTTATTAGATTGCAGGTCTCACTGTACTAGGTACTGAAGATTAAGGGTTATTCTGTTGGAATTTATAGGACGTGTTATGGTGTGCTCTTAGAGTGCGTCCTATTACAAAACTCAAAACTCTGTTCCTATTCCTGCACACTTTCTTATAATCTAATTTTTTTTCTATGGGGCCTCCTGCAAAACTCTTTTGTTGTTCTCCACCATCCTTGTAATCTCCACTTATTTTGATTTGCCGTATTATGGTCTGGTTTAATATGACCCTCAATTTTCATTTAACGGATCATTTCTAATAATAACTGACGTCTGACAGTTAAATATGGAGACTAGAAGAATGGAGACTAGAAGTATTCTTACTATGTAATTTTTACGCACAAGCCATGATAATGTACGAGCCACGAGGTAGCGTATTACAGTTCTACCGTTTTCCTGCTCAAATTACAACTTTACATAAGATTCTAAATTTACAGAGAAATCCTCCCAGGTAAGGTACATTAACCACACTAATATACAATACACCTAACGTAAGGAGATGACACTGTACTACAACAGTAATGTTAGAAGTAGGATGTACATTAATAACAGATACCGTACATTACACTACATTACAGTAACACTACACTGTACACAGCTGTCTGTATGGTAATCAGCTGTCAGGACTCAGGATACAGTTTCAGTATTATTATTCTAGAAGCTTTCCCCGGAGGAGCAGCTCTTTAACAATAACTTGACACTGTGCCTGGAATGTGAGGTAGAGATAGTCGGCATGTTAGGACTTTGGCACTTATCACTACAATGTGATTGTTGAATGTATGTCGAGACACAGTCCTTTTAAAAAATGATTTCAAATTTAATTCTGAATTTCTTGGCGCCAATTAGCAATACCTTGTCTAACTATTTAAAATTGCCATGAAGACGAGCGCTTTTGAATGATCGGAATCGAATTTCTGCTAAATTTACATAACTACACTGGATTTAAATGAGCCTGTAGTAAAGTAAATATATAGAGTAACCTGACATCCAGTAAACACTGACCTGGTTCTCATTGTTCTCCTCATTGTTCTCAGTCTATATTATATACAATCAGCATTAACACAAGACGTATTGGGCTGAGGGGGGGGGGGGGGCAATTGGGTTAAATGAGAATCTTATTATCACCACTTTAATTAGCACGTACATCACAATGTATGTTTAAACACCTGAGTCTAATTATCACCCAGCTATAATCACTGTAATCCCCTGTAATTAGAATGTACTCTGTATTAAAATGTATTGTGTATTAATTGTATGTACCAATCACTTATAACCAGGATCTTCAGATCGCATAATTATATAGCTGACAAAATAATTATATGCTTTGAGAAAATCGAATTACAGCTTTATAGTTTATATCTTTTTAGCTGCACCCGAAGACACATAAACAAACATAATATGTACTCCTTTATAAAAATATGTGTCCACAAAAAAGCCTTAATTTTACACAAGCAAAGACCATGCGAATATACTGAATATAGATTCCTTACTAGAGTTAACTCGTCTTAATCCCTCTATATTATTAGCTAAACTGAGTTAGTACTGAGTACAATGTATATACTTTACTAGAGACAGATACCATCAAGAACCAGTACTTAGTCCATAATATGTCAGTATGTACGAGAACCAGTGGCTATAGACGTAACCTAGGGAGATGTCGCGCCAGTTAAAGCATACTATTATATGGGCAATTTCATGAAACATGAACAAGGAGGGGAAAAAATAAATTTCAGTTATGAAACTAGCTTTGATTGGAGTCTGAAAGAGAAGATCATAAACTGTAAGACACAAAAAACCGCTTATAAATATCTCACTTCGTTTCTGTGTTATCGCGTTTTCAAAATACCCATAAATTGTCATGTTTTACAGGCCAAAACTACTCTATAATAAAAGCTGTTTACTAAAAAGAGATTGTTGTAATATTCATTAATTCTTGATCTGTAAAGGTGCATACCACTTCACTGGAGCTGTATGCAAAATTTGGGACTCAAAATTTAAGCAGATTCGGAGCAATGCTATTCTACTTTCTCCTGTTTTTAGTGTAAATTACTATACATAAAAAACAAAAAAGTTTTCTGCTGGCCACATTTCATGTTATTTCTTGCTGAAATCTTGCTAAAACAAGCTAACTCTGATGTCAAGACATAATGTACTTGTTTATTTAGATCCATAGATATCAGATCATGTCAATACCAGCGTCAAGTAAGTTACATGTCAAGTAATTTACGTGTCAAGTAATTTACACATATGCTTTTTATTTAGTAATAGTAGTAAAACACAACAAGTAACGATTGTCAAACAGAATAAAAGTTATTTAAAAGTGATAATAGATTGGTTCTGGTCAGAATTTCATTAAAGAAATCTATAAAAATGGTTAAAAATGGTTAAAAATTGACTTTTCGAAAATAATACTTTACTTTACAGAAAATCCAGTGGCCTGCTTGAACACAAATTTTTGAGCTGGGAAACATTCGTACATTTACGCCCACCTACCTACTCTGTATAACTGGGCTAACTGTGGACCCAATCAGTGGATCAATCAACCAATTAAAGGGGCCGGGGGTCTTCATCAAAATTCCCTCGAAATTGACTTTTTAGTTGTTTCTGATAGAAGGGAGTGATATCTATCAGATGCTTTTGGTCCCATGGAAAAATATTATTCCTAGCCGAAATTATTGTCGGTCAAAGGTCAGCACTTATGTGTAATTGTATTGCGCAAGCGATTTTCAATCACGTGTCCTGAAAATCGAGTCTAAAAATCTATCTTCTCCTACATTTTTTGAGCAATCACCCTGAAACTTTCAGGATATGTTCTAGAGATAATTTAAAAGAGATGAGCCAGACAGAATTTTGAGATAGGCCTTTAAACATATTTTATTCGATTTTGAAAATCTTGGACCTCGTTTTTTGACGATTTTTTGAGGTCCAAGATTTTCAAAAATTGAAAATCGCTCGCACAATACAATTACACATAAGCGCTGACATTTGACCGATCATAATTTCGTCTAGGAACAATATTTTTCCATGGGACCAAAAGTATCTGATAGATATCACTCCCCTTTATTAGAAACAACTATAAAGTCAATTTCGAGAAAATTTTGATGAAGGCCCCCACGGCCCCCTTAATTGGCTTATGATAAACTGATATATCATTATTAATCATATATTACATAGTTCATACACTTAGCAAACTAATTAAAGACAAAGGGGCAGCTTTAAACAGTTAAAATCAAAGGATTGTGTAACAGTGTAAACTACTTGACACAAAAGAGTAACTTACTTTACAAGGAACAAAGGCTTCTACAGAACACAGCTATTAACCATTTACCAAAACAAACCCTTTCCAGTACAGGCAAGACATTTGCCAGTGTGCATGAAAAATATTTAAATGTTTACTCTCACACCTGGGCACGAAATGAGATTTCAATACACGTTGGTCAGGAATGTCAATTTGTGCCCTGTAATTTACTTTACATTTTCAAACGTGCCTCACTCAAAAGCCATAGCAGTTGGAGTAAAAATCTTAATATAGCTGTGTGTGGAGTACATAGGAGATGTTTCATGCAATTTATCATGATTCTGTTATGTTTGTGTAATGCTTGAGAGTCAGAATAAGGCCAAATTTTTGTGCAAAGTGTAATTTACTTTACGTGAAATCGCCCATATAGTAGTGTAGATTCATTGTGAGTATGATATATCCCAGATTGGTGACAATACGATTGTAGCCACAATATAACAGTCAATCTAACCATTAGCAGATACAATACAGAGCACAAACAGCAGGTACAATCATGACACCATTGTTACTAGGCTTTTATCACAGCTTTATAACTACGTTATATACCGGTATATATACCCCAGTTAGTGGCTTCAGAGTGGTAAACCTTTACGCGCTGGTATATTCTAGCTGCCTGCTCAGCTGTAACAGTGAGCAAACTGAGCAGAAACAGTGAGCAACCTGAGCAGAAACAGTGAGCAAACTGAGCACATAGTAGTCTTGTGCATACAGTGCTCCGGAGAAGGCTGCTTGCATTGCTCCCTTCAAGGTGCTAGCACATTACCGTACCATATAAGGGCTCGGAAATGTTATTGCCTGACTAGAGAACAGCATTGGAAGTTGGAACCCAGGATGATTACTTGTGCTCTAATGTCCTCAGGACAAAGATGCACTTAGTTTACTGGTAAACTGTGATGAAAGGCAGCAATGAGTTCTTGCTAAATTGTAATAGTAACTAGCCACTACCAAATCAACGAACTCAGTATGAAAAGGTCACTTCTTTTCCAACCATTTTGAGTTCCTCTCTGAGTCAGTATCAAGAAGCGAGTGAGTATCTTTCTTTGATGCGTTTATTGGTTTCAAATCCCAATATAATGCAGTGTCACTTGCAACTATGAGCTCATTTGGTCATCTTTTTTGGCATTTGTTTTTAGCAACAAACTACCAGTTCTCTGTAGATGAAACCTAGATAAATGACCACTTACTGATCATAAAGTATAGCATAGTGGACAGTCGTGTACCATTACAACAAACAACAAGATACAAGGGCAGGTCTCTCCCACAAGTTGGGATGGCCTGAGGTGCTTTAAATCTCCTTTTCGGTAACCCTAAGCCACTCTGTGCCGAGGCACTATACTAGCTGTAGGGGGTTAGTCCTACGAGCCAGAGAGTGTGTATCACCAGCCGAAGCTGTACCAAATCACAGCTTGGTAACTGGCCGACTTGCATCCGACCGGATTTGAACCCGGGCCTTCTGCTTGGTTGGCGATCGTGTTACCACTACACCGCCGGCCATTACAGTACGCCGTATATTCTATTATTCTAGTTGCCTACTCAGTCGTGATGTACGACCTACTATTCACTAATGTGTTTAATGTTGCAGAAATATCCGGAAATGAGGGATGTTATAACTTGAATTATGTGTATATAAGGTACACACAGGTTTACTATGACGTAATATGACGTAGTATGACGTAATATGTCACGTGCTGGTGTTATTGGAAGCCTGCAGCATGTTGCTAACAAAATTATATAGACAATGCCATATAAGGGCATGTAAGACCATAAATTACGTATTTAATACTGTGCGGTAAACTTAAGGATCATAAGACAATGACTGGATAGGATTATTATTGAAATCAACAACAAACATAATATAAAGGGGTATATAATATGACCAATTACTATATTACAATATACATGTATTTAGGAGTTAGAATGGTATGTTTAAATTAATACCATATTCCTACGTCATTAGACCATAACTTTACGTCATTGATTACGTCATTGATTACGTAATTTTAATGTTATTGATAGCCTGTAGAGTGTAGGGAGATGCTAATTTCTGGGTATGTATAATTAATACCATACCATATATTAGGGTATATGGCCATATTACATTATGTATTTACCAGACAATATGTTATTCACAACATACTACAAGGTAGTTACAACGTAATCGAACTCCACCTTATCACACATATTTTCTTTAGGAATTTACAGGATCTTCTCACGTGCCAAATATTTAAAAATACTGGGAATACTTTAAATCAGGTGTCTAAAACTTAGTATTAAAACTGTTTGACAGAAAGTTAATTAGGTTTAAAAAGATACAGCGTCACGTTAATAGATCCTGTATTTATTGTGTAATGTATTTCTGTGGTGAATGCGAATTAATTGTTTCGATTTAACGTTGCTAGCTTCAGTGTTTGCAACATGTTTTAACTTACAGTATTTTGCTTTTTGTGAGTGATCCTACAAGACTTTACAGTCTTTGAGAGCCTAATTAGCATAATTAATATCTAACTGGCTTAACTAGTCGGCATTCATCTCTGAGAAGTTGTTATAGTAAGTTTTTTAAATATTTTGCCTGATTAACATTCACAATTATCATTTAACATAAATTATAAGTTATTTAACATAAATTATAAGTTATTTAACATAAATTATAAGTTATGTTAAGGTTCGGAGATATCAAGAATATTATAATACTTTTGAAGCAATTTTGTGTCTATAATTATTTTATATATATTTTGAAATAAACATTGATCAGTAAGCAAAGCTGGTCACAAATCATTCACAATAAATTAAACCAGGTAGGGTGAAATTTCAAACAATACCAACCGCCAACTTCATATTTTTCACAATAATTATTAATTCTTGTTATAAAACTCTGCTTAATAATAAACAGTGCTGGCTGTTTGGGTTGACCTTATTTTGTAACATCATCCAGTAACGGCCCTAACATTGTTTAAAAGGTTCCACAAGACCCTTTGTGTGGATTATTATTGTGTAACTAATAACTATGTGACTAAGGATAATTTGAGTCAGTTTTAGTGTACATCAGCATTCCTGCTATTTTATACTCGATAGTGTGTACAATAACTATATAGTAACAGGAACCCGCCCAATATGGTAGGTTTTAATAGGGACCACAACATAATATAGGAACACGAGCTATGCGAGCATACTTTACGTACGTACGTGGCCTGGGCGAACCTAAAATGGTGTAATGACAAACTTGCATACCGAATAATCATTTTCTCTGTCTACCTAATTAAACATCTCCACTTCAGTTGGACAACATGTTAGCCTGGGGTAACGCCGTTGCAAATTAAACATCTCCACTTCAGTTGGACAACATGTTAGCCTGGGGTAACGCCGTTGCTAATTAAACATCTCCACTTCAGTTGGACAACATGTTAGCCTGGGGTAACGCCGTTGCAAATTAAACATCTCCACTTCAGTTGGACAACATGTTAGCCTGGGGTAACGCCGTTGCTAATTAAACATCTCCACTTCAGTTGGACAACATGTTAGCCTGGGGTAACGCCGTTGCTAACGAGTTCTACGAGTACAAACTGCCTAGTGACTTCAGACGCCCCTCCGACGATCCGGGAGTGGAGAAGTTCATACGGAACAAGTACGACAAAAAACTGTACATCCACGAGAACTTCGACTACGCAACCAGCGTCAAGAACCACCCTGGTAGTGGGGGTGGAAGTAAGCCGGCGGCTAAGCCCGGTAAAGTGGCCGGTAAAGTGGTGCAGCCGGCGGCTATTAATGCTCCCGTTAGGAGCATTCCTGTTGTTCCGCTCAAGACCAAATCCGAGGTAAATATTATAGACTATCCTGTCTTAATTAAAATATACTCAGCAACACAAGATGTTAGATTCGTGTATGATATCGAAATGGTGGATAAAGTTTCAAGCCACTGTATTATATTATGGCAGTGTGTTTATTATGGCAGTGTATCTACTGTATATTCTATTACTTTTTACAAGAATGGCGTACAATGTTTACCGTCGTCCAAGTCGATAAAACTATATTAATCGTTCTATTTAAAAACTATATTAATAGTTCGGCCTAAACTCAAAAGTAAGATTGTCATCATGTTATCATGTATACATTTGACGAACACTCATGATCGATATGCTGCGAGCTGTCAAGCGTACATAATAATACTAACTTACTAATACACATTAGTGCACTTTATTTATAGGGTAGATATTATGTATTCTGTTGTGATGTAGGTGAATACCATTGAATATATTAATGCGTTTTAGCATGATATTGCGTAGTTGTATAATAGGACAAATCCTAAGTACAACAAATACGCTGCTATTGTAATCTCAATAACATATTCACGACGACTGTACAATGACTTTATCACGATTCCATAATATATCATTGACGTTTTTTCAAGACATAGATCGTAATGGTTATTATTAATATGTATAATATTTTGTGATTTCATGATTCATCCAATATTTGTATTACCATTCAGTATGATTTCAATGGTGCGAAAAAACAATGACATTAATAGTACGAAGTAGCGAATATGTATGATATCTGAATATTAATGATAGATAATATCTTAGTTACAAATAACTCAATATATTGACTTTTCAGGCGTACGTTCCACCTAAAGTGGCAGCAAGAAAACCAGCACCTGTTGTTGCAAAGCCCCCAGCTGAAGTACCCAGCTTACTACAGGTACTTTTAGTGTTTTAAATACATAGTATTATATCGGGTTATACACAGTATCGGTACTAACTGTGTAGTGTATATGAGGGCCGTGGGGGGGGGGGGTATTTTTGTTAAATTTGTCCAGAAACAACCAGAAATAGATCCTCTCCCCCGTGTTGTCACGTTAATATATACAATAAAAGAGAAGGTATGGGTTCCATGTAATTAGTATCCAGTAATGATGCTATGAGGTGTACCTGTGTACTGTGTAGTGTGTACTGTGTATGTACAATGTATTGTGTGTTATATTATTATTGTTAAATCTTAGGACGTTATTCATCTAAACTGCCTTACACTTATCATTACTAAGACGTACTTAAGAGTATTAGAAACTGCCTTAATCTCTTATTAATATTAAGACTTATTGACTTTTGCTAGACATAATATCGAGAGCTATGTTACAGAATATTGTTCACTTGTTCACCTAACAGAACAAAACCCCGCAGGTATCAATGACCTCAGCAACCCCAGCCCCAGTGTCTTCAGTAAAGTCAGATCTGGTTGATATATTCGGAGACATGGTATCAGCAGCCCCCGCACCTGCTGCTCCTGCCACCTCTGCTGCTCAGCCACCTGCTAGTAATTTACTAACGGACACTAAAGAGGAACCCAAACAGAGCTTTAAAGACTCCATAATGTCCCTGTACGCTGCTGCACCTCCCGCTAACTTCGGACAACCCGCTCAACAGTTTGGAGCTGTACCTCAGTCTAACGGACAGTTTGGAGCTGTACCTCAGTCTAACGGACAGTTTGGGACCATGCAGAGTAACGGACAGTTTGGGGCACAGAATACCGGACAGTTCGTGATGCCCCAACAGAAAGCTCAGTTCGGAGCCCAACAACAACAACCTCCACGATTCAGACAGCAGTTTGGGCAACAACCAAACCTGATGGCAATGCCACAGCAGCAGCCACAGCAACAGCAGCAGCCACAGCAGCAGCCTCAGCAACAGTTTAATCCCTCTGCCCAAATGTTTGCTGCAAATCATCAGTTCCAGCAGCCTAACGGACAGCAATTCGCCCAGTTTAACCAACAAGGGATGCCAAATGGTATGGCACTGAATCAAGGGGTGCAAATGAAAAATGTCCAACCCATGAATATGCAAGGTATGCAGATGAACGGAATGCAGGGAATGAATAATATGCAAGGTATGAATAACATGCAGGGTATGAATAATATGCAGGGTATGAATAATATGCAGGCAATGTACATGGGACAGCAGCAGCAGGGCCAGCAGCAGGGCCAGCAGCAGGGACAGCAGCAGCATTTTGGATATAATATGGGACAAGTCAATGCAGCTAATCAACAACAACAATTCGAGAGCGTCCAGCGTCAACTACAACAGTTAAAGGTACAGGCTCCAGCTGCTTTTTACACATTTCATTGTTTGTTCATACTTTTGGTGTAGTTTTAAATGTAGGTAGCTGAATAGGTAATGACTGGGAGGTGGTGAAGATTGTTTGTCGAAACAACTTTTAAACAATCATTATCTTACAATCATTATATCTTACACATCACTTTTCTAGGTGGGACAAGCACAGCAATCTCAGCCCCAAGCAGGATGGGCTCAAGCCTTTGGATCAAGCTGACATTGTCCAGATATCTACTCTTAACAAGCCACCGAGCCTCATCCTGACCTTGACTACACTGTAGAATCGTAGGTCGCGTGATGTGAAACTTTGGATTGGGGGAATGTTGATAATTCACAACATTTTGTTATTTTACGTTTCCTTGCTCGTCTGTCAGAGGTTTTCAGGACTGGTTGAAATGTGTTGAATTATTACTAGTTCGTGTGCCTTATATATAATTGATTTATCTTGTCACGGTGTAACTTGAAGCCAATTTAAATCGTCTTGTTTCTCTTGCATGTTAAAATATTCTGTCGTCTGTACGGAGGCAAATTAATAGCACCACCGTGGAAAGTAGCACATTATACCGAAAACAAAAATATTTTATATTCTTGATACATATTCTGATCACGTGATATTATGAATATCTCATGATCTGCTTTAATTCCGCCCCTCCCTGTTAATTTGCCTCGATAATGGGCGATTTCTTCTGTTAGCTGCTACTCACAACCAAGGAGTTGTATTATTCAGATTTAACGCTGATTTTTTGTCGCAATTGATTGGAATTACTAATGAATTTGACCACCGATGTAATTATTGTTTATAGATAATAGTTGAAATGCAACCTATTATGATTTGAGTTTTACTTCTTCATGATCACGATGCAGTTACGTCATTATTTTGTGTACAGCTAGCACTGTCGTGCAAGCATAACTGAGCAAACACTTTAATCTCGAAGATGACGTGGCCCCGTTGCCCGTGTTAAATTGTGAAAATTCAGTCAGACTGTTTGTTGAAACTGGACAATTTACATCGCCCAATAACTTTGAAGCGAAGAAATGACTTTAGTCAAATTGGTGAGATGTGGGTGCGTCATGACCTGGATTAGCCGTATACTTGACCTCTATGACCGCATATGGCATAATAAGGTTGTGCAACAGCGCTGTCGCGATCACAAGATGATCATACAAAGTGTGATTTGGCGCACGAGAAGATTTATCACGCGCACTACGTAATTGAACACATCGTAGGGTATATATCACACACACAGGATGTGGTTTGAATGATCGTAATTTCGCACTTCAATGGAAATTAAGAGATTCAGCTGATCAATAAAACATTCTAGATGGCAAGAGAAACTAAATCAACCGGCATTCCCTTAGGAAAATCTGCTTCTCTGCAGTGGCGTAACGAAGGGCCCCGCTGTGCAGGGGGGCGCCGTCTTAGGGGGGCGCCAAATCGTCGTTTGAATGTGGGACAATTTCGAAAACTTAACTAAAGTACTAGCAAAACTGCGCGTTTTGCTCTAGATACACACTTTTTTAGAGATTTTACCGGCGTATCCTCTAAAATCACCTAATTTGTTCAATTTTAGGGAGGGGCACCAAAAGGGGAGGGGGCGCCAACAGGGGGGCGCCTTTGCGGCAGGGGGGCGCCAACAGGCAACGTTACGCCACTGCTTCTCTGAGGAGTAATTTAGGCGAACAACTGTTTTTGAGTCACGCGTCCTACTATGTACTATAATATTAATAGTGACTAGTAAATCGCAAATTCTATTGTTTATTTATATTTAGGGTTTAAATCAGTAAAGGGCCATCTACTTAGGACGTCCGGCAAATAGGGAGGGGTGGTTTAGGAATTTCGGACAAATCCGGAGGGGTTGGTTTCTGAAAATCCGGAGTCCGGACGTCCCGAAATGTTGGCAGAATTAACGAAAAAGTCCCATTTATTTCAAATATTTGAATTTTATTTCAACTCTTTGAATTTGATTAACAATGAATTTGAGTTGGTTTTATTTTTACTCTTAAAAGTAGCCGGACATCCGGGGGAGGGGGATGGTCTGAACACTAAAAATCTGAGACTTTGGCGGACGTCCTAAGTACAAAGTAAATGGCCCTTAAGGCATCAAATCTGTCCCAATGACTTCACAGGAACCTCCCTGACTATCTCAAGTACCGATTCCATTGTATCACGTTGCGACCCCCACGGTCGTTTCACTATGTCCTGACGATACAGGGGGAGCCGCGCACTCCGTGCGCGGCGGGTCATACAACGTATGACAACGATTCCACTTGTACGTTGTATGTGGTAGCACGATGCATTACTATCACTGACTACTCACGCATATAATTAAATTAATTATAATCTTACTGGGCGGCGCTCAGCCTGTCATTCCGCCGAATCTTTATGTTTATGAACATAATAGCCTGGGGTCCCCAGGTAATTATAATCATGCTATAGATGGCATATGTGATATGACACGATTGAGGTGCTTGAAGTTTGAGTTCGGTCTAAGAAGTGGCGTAACTTTGCGTAAGGGGTCATTCACATATTACGTAATCAGCCGAGGGGGGGTTTCAAATACTCACGGTTGATTAATGATTACGGGGGGGGGGGGGGTTTGGTCGTTGATTACGTAATCAAAATTTTAATTTTTGCCGATTTTCGAAATACCAATTGGACAATTTTCGTTAATTAGCAATGAATAATGTGTATTTCTTGTATCTCTACATCAAAATTTAACTCGAAAATGGGGGGGGGGTGTCTAATCTTGATTACGTAATATAGGAGGGGGTTAGGTCTTGATTACGGGGGGGGGGGGGTTCAAACCTTGATTACGTAATATAGGGGGGGGGGGTTCGGTCATGATTACGGTTGATTACGGAGGGGGGGGGAGTAAAAATTGCCAAAATATTGATTACGTAATATGTGAACGACCCCTAACGTTGCCTGAAAAAATTGGGTGATTTTAGAGGATACGATGGTAAAATTTTTAAAAAAGTGTGTTTCTAGAGCAAAACGCGCAGTTTTGCTAGTACATCAGTTAAGTTTTTCAAAATTGTACCACATTCAAACGACGATATTGCGCCCCTTAAGATTGCCTATACTGGGGTGACACATTTGACACATTCTGGTAATCTAACTAATAATCCCAGAATGTGTGTTTTCTGTCTGTCTGTCTGTCTGTTTGTAATTTCCGAGCGGCTTAATCAAGAAAACGGTGAGAGTTGCGGGACTGATTTTTTCGGTTAAGTGCCGACAAAACTCTGACGAAGTTAAATGATAAAGGTTTTTTAAATCGGTCGTTGGTAAGTGGTTTAATTGATGGTTTTGTACCACAAATGTTACATAAAATGGCTTGAGCACAACAGTATAAGAGTTACGGGGCTCGCATATGTAGCTGCTTAATTAGTGTAATTGAGTTACCCGGGTAAGATTCGCTGTCTATACTATAATCTTATTAGGGTAGGGGGCACTGTTTGGACTGCAGAGAGAGAGTTCATACTTTCATACGACAATGTTATGCGTGTTCACAAATATGATAGGCGGGTGTGGTGTTAAGGGTTAATTTCTGTTGATTATTGTTTAAGATACTCACCTAATGCGGTTTGACTCAACGGGTAATTACTCCTACCCTTTTTAACTGCGGCAGTGAAATCCCTGCCGAAGGCCGGGTTACACTAGTAATAAAATAATAGTATAGATACGGGAACAATAACATATATTGTTAGATTTCGATGAAGATCATCACATCAATATCGGGAATTACTATTCAATAGAGCTATTAATAGACCAATATGCTATTGTAAATTTAAACATGAAACATTCTGTTTCACTTTATTTTCCTATTTCAACAATGAACTGATCTAACACTCTGTTATAACAATTGATACTCATATATGATTCACTTTAAGTTTAAACCATGTACTGTTCTCAACTTTTATATTTGAACTTTTAATCGTCTAATAATATAAAATGATAAAAATTGTACTTTCGCATTCAAGCTTTTCATCTATAACTTAGAAGGGAAACAAATTCTTCATATTATGGAGCCAGGGTGTGAATTGGCTACACCTGGTTAAAACGCTTTCATCCCATTTCACAATAGTACTCAACAGAAGTAAAATGAGGTTTTTCAATGTTTTAGACAGAAATATTTGGATATACTGAATTATATAAATTTATAATAGTCATCATTCTAAGTCATCAACTTCTCTTCTGGGAACCCCTTCAAGGACATCGTCGAAGGGGAATACCACACCTCACATACATTGACATCCTTCGGAAGGACACGGGGCTTGACGACAGCAAGGAGATAAAGAAACTCATGCTGGATAGACAGATTTGGAAGAAACCTATCTCTGTTCGGACGTAGTATATTAAGATATTTCTGTTTAAAACACAGAAATATATCATTTAATTTGTACCATGACTCTTTATTATCATACGAAATCGAAAATACGCTTCAAGTAGTCCTTTATCATGAAACAATTGTTGTCGAGTTTACTATTATTAACTTATCAATCATAAGAATTTATTTGCTGAATTTATTTGCTGCCTAAAATCTTGATAATTTTTTCGATGTGCAGTATCTTCGTTGAATTCAGAAAATCAGTCACAGATCTATTAAACTGCAATCCATTGTAGAATAGGACCGAATAAATTGACGACCGTATACCAGTTGTTTTGACTAGAGGCAAAAGGAATATGTTTGATTAAAGTTCATACACATTTCAAAACGGGTTGCTTAGATTTATAGAACATAGAAATTTTATAGTGCTAAATCTCCACTCTTTTATTTAAGGCTTGCAAAAAACTATAGTAAAAGGGCAGCTGCGCAAACCACCCTCTTTTGTTGTTGTAACCAGGCACAAGTGAGTTTATCTTTCTACTTCTAGAAACAATAACATTAGCTGAACAAAGCCACGTGACAAAGCCTTTCTTCCTAGTTGCAGACCACTTTGTGATAGTTCTAAGAGCAGAAATAGTGCCTCCATCGGTCAATAACTAACAGCTGAATCATAGTCACGTGATCAGGAAACCGCATATCACGTTACCAGGGAACCGCACATCACAGATAAGCTATTGGACAACAGTTGGGGTGCAGTTTATGGCATAGATCCGCCTCTATAGATGTGTACGTTAAACTAACATTGACAGACTGTGGTATAACAGGAGTCAGGAAGTGTATATATAGCGATAAAAACATCTGGTCGTAGTTTTACTGCCGTAGTTCTTCTTGGTTAGGAATTAAACGTGGCTCATTGTTAATTGTAATTTGTCCTCGTATAGTTTTATTGTGTTTCAAATGTGAGCATATTTAGGCAAAGCTGACTCTATAATCAATCGTTTTACCCTCAAAATGCTGACTTTTGTAATTTGTACTTGGATAACTTCAAAATGAACATTTTAGGACATATCTGCAGCTGCATAAATATAGCTTTTGTGACCTTCCTTACAAAAATTTCCGGGTTTTTGTATTTCAAAAACATGGTTTTAGCATAGACTAGAGCTGAAGACAATTTACACATATATTTTGACGGCTCCTGCTTAATAAAAATTTCGTGTCACTTATATGATTTAAACAACTCCCTCCAGGCAATAGGCATGTTTTTATCGAATTCCTCTTTAAAGCGAGGCGCCTTATAATCAATAATGATGTATCACTGTATTATAGTATTAGTATTAATAAAAATTGAAATTTCAATTGATTAAGCTGTAAATAATAGATAAATGGCATTTGAAATTTCGAGGATATATTTGTCTCCTTTCCGTTTTGTTTGAAACTGGACTAATTATATTATCAATAACAATTAGGAATTTCAACTAGCCAGTAGCCATGTTCAACTTC